CATTTACATATACAAGTCTTAAAGGTACAGTAGTGCAGACAGCCAGAGTAATTGGGTTCTAGGTTGAACACATACGCCAAATTAAACAATTTAACTGTTTTGGTTGCAAGAAACCTTATGAAATAATAAGTGAACGTATTATGTAAAAACTAAAATTAAAAAGATATTTAATAATTTGTGATTCATTCATTAGGTGTCAATTGAAAATGACACCTATTATTATTATTATTGTTATTATTGGTGGCAAAATTAGGAAATACTTATTTCTGAGAAAAAATTACATGCATTTATACATTTAATGTAAAAATAAACCTTAAAATGTATTTAAAATATTTAAAATTTACTTTACTTAAAATTTACTTAATGTATAAATCAAAACGTTATTTGTGTATTTGTTTAATTGTTATTTCATGGAATTTCAAAATAAATATAATTATATTACATTGATATTTTATTAAATGTTTTTATTAAAACAGATTATTTTATTGCTATAACAGATAATACAAATTATGTTGTGCTGGGCAATGATTAATCGCTAAAAAAATTCAGAATTGTGGGGTAAAAAGTCACAATTACCATTTTATATCATCATTCCATGGCAAAAAATAAGTTTCCATAACTGTAACAGAGAAGAAGAAAAAACTTTTGAATTGCACTTTATTTTTCAACAACTACCCACTTTTTACAGACGCAATCATCCTGAAGTCAACAACATTTTGAATGTTGCTCATCTACTGAGGCTGAGTTCATTCCCAGTGACCTGCAGCTGGTGATTTGTCTCTCTAACAAATTAGACTATTTAGCTTTTTCCTTGGGCATTTTTTTTTCTCTATTTTCTTTCTGTGCTCTATAAAGACATATCATGAATTAACAGAACGGCACATATTTCTTTTCGGCATCAGCTGAGCGTGATGACAAGTACAACATGTTTTATTCATTCTTTTTATGAAATACCCAGATATTTCACTGACAGGCAAATTCAGGCTTGGATTGCTCTTATTGTGGGTTTAGGCCGAGTTTGTAACAGAACAGAGGTGGTCAGAGCCAGCATTAGTCTCAGTCTGACTACTTCCATTCATGAGCAGGAACGGACCCCACAGCAGCCACCGTCATCATCATGTGCTACAAACAATGTCCGTCATTGTGAACGTTAAATTGCATTGTACCAATTTGGGAGGGGTTCTTTTGATTTTTAGGTCTGCCTGCGGTTAAAGCTCTAGAAACTAGTCCTGTGAGTCGAGCTGCCCAGGGCGATCGGCCAGCTATTGTCCTGCTGTCCTGGCACGCAGATGCACACCACTTGCTCCAGGAAGTGTCCTGTGTCTCTGAGTGGCAGTGAATGCGGCCCTGGTGTTCGAAGCTGTTCGAGCATGTCGTCCTTTTTATCGTCCCATTCTTCCAGCAGCAGATCTGTACCATCGCTTTGCTTTGACATAAAACAAGAAAGAGGAGACAGTGCAGATAAACATTTGATGGTTCCATATCTTTTTCCCGTCAGCAGATCCCTCAAAATCACCTGTGTATATTGATATCCCCTGCTTTTTCCACTCCAGACCTACAACTTTTTTTATTTGGTGCCGATCAATTCCGGATATCATGTAGACGTCGCTATTCTGATTTGTTTTCCAGTCTCCTGGTTTTATTGCACTCATAACTGGAAGCACATAAATCTTAAACATTGCAACACTTCGGCAGCAATCGGTGGCATTATAATGTGTCTAAACTAACTTTATCGTACATTTTGTATCTGTGTTTTGAAATATAGCAGTTGTCAAGCATTGTCTGGGCTCACAATCCAACCAACACTCCACAGGATTTGAAAGAGCCAGAGCTGACAGTACAGTGTGAGCTTTTGGGAATGAAGGTATGCTGTGCCCTTGAGATAGGGAGTGTTATGGAAGCTATCCTGCCATCAGAAAATGGCTTTTGTGACTCCCAGGCAGGGTGCATTTTTCACACGTCTGTTGGGCTTTGAGACTGGAAAAAAAAAAAAAAAGGAAGGAAAGATCTGGGACAGAAGAAACTTGCTGGCGTGGGTGAGATGGCGACGGGTTTCTAAATGTCAAGGTCCTTATTTTTCCACGTCTTGACACTTTCGTTTCAGCACCTTTTTTCATCCCTTGTTCTTGTTTTAACCTATCAGCATTTTGTTTATTTCTTTATTTTTGTTTTGCTATAGTCACAAAATATGTTAACGCCAGTTGTCTCCATTTTTAGACAGAAAAAAAGACAATATAGCCTACCTGTGACTGCACATCACATGTTCATTTAACATCTACAACATGACCTTTAGTCTAATTAAAGGGAAAGTTCATTCAAAAATCAATACTGTCATCATTTACTCAACCTCGTGTCTTTTAAACCTGTATGACATTCTGTGAAATATAAAATAATTTTTTAGAAAATATTTTTTAAAAGTGTTTGTTTTTGTCCTTACAATGAAATTGAATAGAGTTTGTTGGACCCTAATGTTCTTCAAAGATTGCATAAACTTTTGGAATGACATGAGTCTGAGTAAATGATGACAGAATTTCATTTTTTGGTGAACTGTTCCTTTTAATATTCTAGTAATATCAATTGCAATTAATTATTTAATAATATTATAAGAATACTTACTATTTATACTGGTATTTATTAATTTAGTTTCATTTTATCACCTCATAAAACTCCCCTATTCTCACCTGCTACAAAGCCATTTCATATCCTTAGAATTTTGTTCTGGGTGTGGGCTCTCTTGCCTCATGTCATCTGAGTCATGCTGTTCAGAGTATGCAGTGCACAATGGGCTGCTTCAGCCGTCTTTAGTCCGGACTTCTGCATATTAAAGAACCAGGCTCTGAATAGGAAAGCTCTTTGACTGTAATCCGACCTCTGACGACACACTGATGGCTGTTCACGTTCCTCTGCCAGACACAATGAGAGGCCAGTGACAGGTATTGTGGCCTGAGAGTAATCCTGGTGTAAAGGAAAGGAGATGTGGAGCTACTGGGTGCAAAAACATTATTCTTGAGTGTCCCTTGTGGAATGCAGCCTAGATTTGCCTTTTTTCTTTATAAAACCCAATGCCTCCCCACCCTACAGCTGAAACACTTCATGTACTTCTCTTAACAGCACCGGCACCTAAAATTCCTGATGGGGATTTTGGATTACACAAGCAGACAGGAGAGTCAACAGCTGTGTTTCAGGATTGTGAATATGACTGGATTTTTATATGTACTCCCAGCAGCCTTTTGAAATGATAAAATGGCCTTCTCTAAGGCTCTATTATTTCTCTGTCAAGACTTTTTTACCCTTCATCATCTTGTTGAAGGCATGCTCTTGTGTCTTTCCCTTTTTTGCGGTATTCATGCATTTTTATCCCCGAACCCCTGCAAGGCTTTGATTCTTTGTTCTAGTCTCCCTTTTCACATAACCCATACATGAAGTGAGTCTGTGATGCCTTTGAAAATTGACCTGTATTGCTTCTCTGACACGTTGTGTCTTGTTGCTTCGCTTCAGCCTTTCCTCAGACGCCCATTGTGTGCTTCTCCCTCTAGTTAAACAACATGTAGGCCACTGGTGACATGCATGTATGTATAAACTCTGCATCTTTTGAGAAGATGTCTTTGAAAGTGAACAAAACCTAAAACCACAGTGCCCTTGAGCATAGTAGATGTCTGTAAATGTCAGTCGTATTGTTTGTTTAGGTGTCTACTTAATGTGAATGGCTTTAAATTGACTTTCATGTTTACTGCCTTTTAAAATGTTCTATTGTCCTTTTGTCTATAATGGGTTTTTCTGTAGTTCAGGATGTCTTTGAAAGTTGCATAAGGAATATTTGTCAAGTTTAGATAACATCTGAAGTTATACTTTCATGATCCCTCTTGCAAGATCCTTTCACACTTGCCATTCGTTTCGTGACTGTCATCACCTTTAGCCTTCAATACAACTTCCTGCAATCGCCATTAGTTCTGTCCTCATTCTGCAGAGGTCTTTACTTGGTTAGCGCTAATCTGAATCCTACTCGACTCAATCACCTGTGCCACACTTTGCGCTAAACCCTTCATTTAAGATGAAAAGATTAAATGACTTTTGCCCTTTGAAGTGCATGAAGGATAGTGAGGATCACTTTTTAAAGCCCTTACTAATCAATACAAGCCGCCTCCATTATCCCGTAATCCTGGCATTGCCTTTGTAAATGCCTCTCTAGACGCTCTTGGTATTCAGTGAAAAGAAACCCAGGTAATGGCTTTAAATTGACTTTCATGTTTACTGCCTTTTAAAATGTTCTATTGTCCTTTTGTCTATAATGGGTTTTTCTGTAGTTCAGGATGTCTTTGAAAGTTGCATAAGGAATATTTGTCAAGTTTAGATAACATCTGAAGTTATACTTTCATGATCCCTCTTGCAAGATCCTTTCACACTTGCCATTCGTTTCGTGACTGTCATCACCTTTAGCCTTCAATACAACTTCCTGCAATCGCCATTAGTTCTGTCCTCATTCTGCAGAGGTCTTTACTTGGTTAGCGCTAATCTGAATCCTACTCGACTCAATCACCTGTGCCACACTTTGCGCTAAACCCTTCATTTAAGATGAAAAGATTAAATGACTTTTGCCCTTTGAAGTGCATGAAGGATAGTGAGGATCACTTTTTAAAGCCCTTACTAATCAATACAAGCCGCCTCCATTATCCCGTAATCCTGGCATTGCCTCTGTAAATGCCTCTCTAGACGCTCTTGGTATTCAGTGAAAAGAAACCCAGGTTGTAGGGCTCCCACGGCATCATGTGGGTTTGGCTTTTGCAGCCAAAATTCAGAGAGGGGTAATACAAGAGTTTTTCGTCTGGTCTAGTCAGAATTAATTGCCTTTGAATACATAGTTGCACCTTAGTGTTCGGTCCACAAGTAACAGAATTTATAGCTAAAATGGTGCGGAGTAGATATTTTTGCATTGATTGCATTGATTTTGTTTGCTTTATTTGCATTTGTACTTTTGTTAAATTCATGCCTTTTCTTTTTAGGTGAACTCAAGGAGGCTAGAATGCTCTGGGTATGATCTGTCTAGAGCATCCAGTGCCAAAGAACAAGAAGCCACCTTCAACAAGTCCAAAAACCAGAATCTTTTCTGCACGGGATCAGGAGATAAGGGCTCAGAGAGGGTAGAGAAGGGGCAAAGAGGTGTTGGGCAGGGGGCCGCTGGTGCATGTGGGGGCAGTGCACATCCCTTCCTGGAGAGTGGAAGCCCACCTCGCCCATGCCGTCCCCTGCCCAACCCAGTCTCACCACCCTTTGCAATGGTGACATGAGCGCATACCTTACGGAGAAGCCCAATTTCAACCCATCTATTTTGTCTCTTTGGAAAAAACATACAATAGACTTGTAAATAGAGGACTGTGTCTATCCTGATTGGTGTGGTTGTAAGGTGATGATGCTGATGTGTGGACGTGTGAGACGGCTCTTCCGTCAGCTCACGCTGCAGACCAGCCTGCTGCTGCTCTTCATTTTCTGCATGGTCAGTGTCCTCATCTCAGCCTATTTCTTGTATGGCGTTAAACGGGAGCTCGAACCCGCAGGAGTTGGAGGTGTGGTGGTCCCAGAAGAAGGTACTGCTGATTGGGAAGATCCCCGGGCGACTCCTTCCCCTCCGTCAGCAAGGGTGCTGCCAGCCAGAACCGCCAAGCCAGCAGACATGTCTCGAACCGACCCTGTGGTTCTGGTGTTCGTGGAGAGCTTGTATTCCCAGTTGGGCCAGGACATCGTGGCCATCTTGGAATCTGGGCGATTTCGATACCAGACCGAGATCGCACCTGGGAAGGGCGATATGCCCACACTCACAGACAAGAACCGGGGTCGATTTACACTTGTCATCTACGAGAACATTCTTAAGTATGTCAACCTGGATGCCTGGAATAGAGAGTTGCTGGACAAGTACTGTGTGGAGTATGGCGTTGGCATCATCGGCTTTTTCAAGGTGAGCCATTTGTGACCTTTCACAGCAAATAGTGTTACTAATGGGTGTTAATGTCTCTCTTAATTCCAGTGGGTCAATCACCTTGCTCTAAACGATTTTACAACTGACATTTCACAGTCTGATTCAGATGTTAGCTTGCAGAAATATTGCCAACAGAGGGAGGTTGGGGCATTATGCTAAATATTGCAGTAATAGCACATTACTGAACAAGAATGTCCTTGTTGATTGGCTCTTGTTCTATGGGGGAGCTGCTCTTCAAAATCAGTCCGATGAAATAATCGACACTAGAGTCTGCACATTTGACTATTACTCATTGCTGCCTGTCATTGCCAGCTTGTAAACCTCCTCTCCCAGTTCTAATGTATTGTTTGCCTATGGCAGGCCCGCTTTTATTACCCTCACGAGCTTGAGTGCGGCACACTAATTGTTAGTGGAGGTTAACCCAGTTGATGAGACTGTTAGAGTCTCGCTTGCCTGCAGCAGAAGGGCGAGGACATCAACACGTCTTAAAAGGAACCGCATGAAATTTGCGCTTGTTAATTTTTATTGACTCAGGCTGCTCCGATTCTCCTCAAAGCTGTTTTACCCCAGGCTCTTCTGTTTACACACTAACAGGAGCAGTTCAATCCCTGATTGGCTGGAAATGCTGTTTTCTTGTCCAGGCAGTTAACATCCTTGCCTTGCTGGATTTCATTGATTGAGAGCCTTAAGCGTGTCTGATAACAGACCCTGAAGGTACATGGTTCAGCGGACCAAACCTTTTTGTCCTCTTGAGTGAAGAAGCACTACCTCCAGTTCATTCCAGTAATGGAACATGCATAATTACCTTCACATCAAGCCTTGACTTGCACCTGTCAATGCCAAATGCATTTATCTCCCAAGAGTTGCACAAAGAAGCATCACAGTGGACACCAGCAGTTCTTTTAGTTATGCTTGCATGCATCAACAGGTTCAAGCTCTTGTTTGCCCTCATATTAGTCTTCTAACCTAATCCATGGACTCCATAGAGTCAATGTATAATTGGAATAAACCCTTATGTTTTCCTAACCAGCACTTGAGTTGGTATAATCTCTAGGGGCCATATTAATTCTCCGGCCTCCAACTAAACTCACTAGCTCTGTTTTAAAACATAGTGAGTTGCCTACCAATACTACCTAGCATTTTAAGGCATAATAAGTTGCCTGACGTGAAGGCTGCTACTTTCTTTTTGGTAAACGAAGGTAAGCCACCTTCTCTTAACTAATTTATAGCTGCTTCACATGTATCATTTGTGAAAACGCAAACTACATCTCAGTTTCATGATGGGCAAGTCAAGAGATTTTGATTTTAAGTATGCTCATTTCATTTAGTGGCAAAGATTATTGATAAACGTAATTGATTGTTTACCCAATATTTGTTTGCTGTATTTTACTTTATTTACTTTGTTAGAGAAGTGTATTGTTAGCTTAGCAACATGCTAACATCAAACTCCTGAAATTAATTTCTCCTTAGAGTTACTACCTGTGCTGAGTCACTTATGAAATTTTGAAGTGCCTCCCTTAGAAAGCAGTTGCCTATGTAGGCAGTAGCCAACAAGCTGGGCTACAATTCTTTAACAGCTTTTTTGGGCTTGGACTAATTATCTAACATGGTTCATGAATTGTTAAGTGTCAAAGTAAGTTAAATGCTGATAAGCTTCGAAGGAGCCTTTGGCTTGCAAGTGTTGCTGGAACAATGGAGACCGGAAGATGGGATTAGGGAGAGAGGGAGAGGCTCAGGGAAGATATTGATTAAGGCCACTGGTATGTGAAAATCTCCCATCCGTATTCTCCAAGTGCTGAGTGACATCACCACCCACTCTTGAAGTTTCAGCTTGTTTCAGTGTGTTGCCGTGAAAAGAAACAGATGAAAATGTGCATGATTCATCTGGCATTGCCTGTGGACAATGCATCTCTCCAGAGGGTCCCATTGCTACCTCTGGTGGCAGAATAATGGCTGTGTTAAGAGATGAGCAGGGTGTGAAGGCCTCTCTCCAAATTGTAAGGCTCATTGTGTTTGTTCCACTCAGTGTGCAGTTTATCACCAATTGATCCAGCTTCACTGGGTCAGCTGGGCCGAGAGAAGAGTGGACTGCATGCAGATGAGTATGGATAGTGTTTAAACACTCATAGTACCACAAGGCACAAGGCATCTAACTCAGGAGAGCACTAGTTATCTTCAGCTTAAAGAGTAAAGGAAGCAATAAATTGCTGCTGTATTAAAGGGGCCATATAAAAAATGTCCTTCACGGTGCTTCCAGACCATTTATGAAATATGCTATTTCCGATTTCTAACTACAAAAAGGTTGCATTCCTGAAACTTGTGCTGAATTTAATTCAACTCAAAGTCTAAGCTGGTAAAATAGGTTATTCAAAAATGATATCACAGCCATGAGTACAGTAGGTATGGACAATGGTAGGGTGACCAGATTTCTCATGGTTCAATACGGGGGGTGGGTTGATATATGACCACGATATGAGAAATTTTATTTGATGATATCTAATGGCGCTTTTCCACTGCATGGTACGTTCACACAGGGCCATGTAGTTTTGGATTTTGTTTTCCCTTAATAATAAAAACTTTCATTTAAAACATGCATGTTGTGTTCACTTGTGTTATCTTTTACTAATATTTAAATTTGTTTGATGATCTGAAACATTAAAGTGACAAACATGCAAAAAAATAAGAAATCAGGAAGGGGGCCAACACTTTTTCACACGACTGTATATATATATATATGAATGTAATATACTGACACACATCCGGTTTTCACCCACCTGTTTACGTTCACTTAAGCCATAACCGACTGTATTTACGTGAGATACTCCATACGATGGACATTTTGACAGCTGTGTGTGTATTTGACAATAAGGCGCAAGGAGAACTGATCACAGAATGGGGGATATGGGCAGAAAAAATTATCATGATACAATTTCTCATATCAATCTATATTGATAATTATCATGATACATTTTAAATGTATTATTTCAGCCCTCTACGAACACCTTGGCAATTGAATCGCCATTGGCTAGTAAATTTTTGAGTTTACTCGCCAGACTGATAAATATATATATATAT